ATTACAAGATTGTTGAGATACAACACACGATCTGGTATCAAAATCACATTTTATAACATTGATGTCAGTATTAGGATAGTCAGGTCACCTGCTTTGCACCAGTACGTAGTGCGCTGCATTGTACACAGGCATTTTCCAACCGGAATGTATGGTTCGGACAAATGCCGCCGACGCTACCGCCCTTCGCCTGCACTGTCCACTTCGATTTATAGTTTCCTTCGCTGACTCTGTCAAAATTTATCGTACCAAATACATCCTAAGCGACCAAGTTCAATCGCGGTTTACACTACTCTGTTCCATTTTGGTTGCTGAAAAATCGGTGGTAATTTAGAGAAGCAAATATCCCGCCACAACTTGCATCTTTTCTAATTTAAAGCTCTCCGTTGTTGTGGGAATCAACTATCAGCGAAATTTCCTCACTATAACAGTGATAAGTCACCATTCAGTATCGGCCATCAGGGCATCATATTCTGATTAGAAGGTTGTATACAAAACACAAAGCCTTTGCCATCAAAGCTTCTGTGGAACGACAAACTCCTCAAAAACTCGAACACACTATATAGCCTGTTTTTGCGCACATATTACACAGGTGTCAACGAAGCTAAACGGATCTATCAAAATGGTGAATGCTTGCTTACGATGAAGCCCCATTAAAACTGTTGTCGTTTTCAAGCAACCTTGGTCTGCGTTTGATTGTTTGACTTCTATATCTCAAAAGCCGTTGTGCACAGGTCGGTGTTCATCAGCGGGCATATGAAAATTTGGCAGACAGCTTTGCCTCTCTACAGTAGTGCATGGTAGTTCGGCTTCGAAANGACCAGCTTGATCAGTGGATAGACCAAGACAAACTCATACTCGGAACCCGTCGGTTATGACTGGCTCTGTGTTTACATTTATAGGTCTCAGTTTGACAGACATATAAGGGCATCATGGGGAATTTCGATGTTACAAAAAATTGATGCAGACTGTCAGTCGGGTCTATTTGCTTTGGTAACCTCAGGCACAAGCATATTGATTTTGGTGCTTTTATTGCAGCTTAATTTGTGTATATCACAATTCATTCCCAACAAAGACGTCAAAAGTTTGAGCATTTTAATTCCGAGTGGCAAGCAATGATTGTGGTAAACATGAAATTTTTCATTTCTTTAGGCAAAACACTAAAGGATGCATCCCCAAACTTGCCAGTTGATTATGTTCGGCACTTGACGCAACTTAGTTCCCAAGTTTAACCCCAAGATTTCCGGACTCATCAAGCAGGATATCATTCCTTACAAAGTGTCAGGACTTATTCATTCACCTAGTGAAATATTACATTTCTTGCATGCTAATAAATTATTTTTGAGCCCTTCGAGTGCATATACGAAATTAAACAAAGAAATACGCGCATATCTACGGCACTATCCAAAACGTATCGTGTGACGTGTAACAGATGAAACTCAACTCACCTCTTTCATAAATCGCTGCAAAGCCCTTCAATTCAATCGAATCATCTGTCCTCATGGAAGGATCTGTCCTCATCGGAGGGTCAGATTGGCAAAACGAAGCCACTCAAGATGGCCTGAAAGATGAATGTGGCTAACGGCCGGTCAAAAATCAGTGTTCTTCTTAGAACTAGTTTCGCATACGATTCGAGAATCGCCCTGCTGATGTGCAAAGGATCATCTGTCCCACTCCCACGCCCAAGGTGTCTGGCGCGCAGACAGTGACCAGTCATAGATAGCGACGCGTTCTGGAATCCGAACAATGTGAGACCGACAACGCGTGTGAATGCACGCACGTGGACTCGTCTCGCTTACTGCCTATGTGATAAGAAGAAACACTTTTACAAAGGCTTTTCAGAAACCTTGGAATCCGTCCTCTATCTTGATGCGCGATACTTCAGTGTACTCGGCACGGCAATGTATCCGCGGAATGAAATTGTTTCGTAAAATTATTATTTCTAACAATCCCACCTAGTTAGACAGTAGTCCTATCTAGGCGACACAAAAGTTTACTTCTTGTTGCTATTGTACTGAGGTACAAAACGGTGCCGAAAAAATCAAAGAGAGCAGTTACAGGTAACTCCGGATGTATTCGAACCAGCGCCATTTATTTGACCCGGAAGTGACAAAGCACCCCAAATTGCGACGGAGTCCGTACAGTCTCTTGTTGAATAATGACAAACCTTCACAGCCGGCTCTACAGTGGATGGAAGAGTAGGCCTTCTCACGGTTCCGCAAGAATTATACATTTCAAAACGTAACGAATAACGTGAGTAAGAAGGGAATGTCGGAAATAACGCTCTTGGGGTCTTTTCCGACTATCTAGTTGAATGGAAAAAAACTAAGGTATTTGTACTCCTTTAATTCAGCATGAGTTCTCCAGGTTGGTAGCCTCCACACAAATCAGCTACGGGGCTATCTGGAGTAAATTGTCCTATACAAATATACGTCTGATTTTGGGGTCTGTCAGATTGTTTCAGTAAGTCTTCTCTTGGTGTGACCGAGGTGGAAGGTTATCCCATGTACTATTCATATATACATTAATCACCACACTGCTCTATACCTTACGTTTTACGGAATACTTCTCGGAATTGCCAAACAGTGTATTGAGCTTGATGGGAACAGTGCTTAAAGTCGCGCCACAATAAAATTCTTGCTCACTGGAATGACTGAGCGCGTCTGCTGTCAAACGCCTGTTGGGAATGACGTCGCAGAGCACAACCACAGCGTTTCATCAAGGAACTACTCCCACAAGGAGCAGCTGCTGTTGATGTGATGCTTCTACGGTTCGTGTGAACACAGTCAGTACAACCAATGGGGCGGCCTACTGACAAAACAGATCTGACAACAATGGTTGACCCGCTGAAAGAACTGAACATTTTTTTTGTTGGCCCAGGTGCGGAGTTGTGCGACCAGCGTTCGCTAAACCGGAGATTGGGAGACTAATGTTTCGGATGCCAGATGCACACGCTACGAAGTCAACATGAAAACGGGAATGACAGATTTAGCTGAGATTTGGGGTCTCCCGCACATGTACGAAGCTAACTGAGCTGTATCAGATTTGGTTGATTGTACGCCAGTGGTTGCGCGTTGAAGCAAACACAAGTTCAGGAAGGTCACCGACCGAGTGGAATCTACGTCTCCCCAAACTTGTTATCCGGACTTGGGAAATGACTTCAACAAACAAACCCATACGACCGGAGAAGCCAGCCCATCGGCGAGTGAAAACAAGCGCTCCGACCGGGGCACGGTGGAGACGGAGCAGGGTTTAACAAAGCTTAAGTGAAGTCCGACTTCTCCAATTCGACTACAAGACCACTGGGTGTCGTCGAAATCGCTATCCATGATTGATGCCAGGAAAGTCATACCAACAGGCAACGAGTACGACAGCGCACGCAAATCCCTCAAACGCTTGAGGAAAGACCGAGAGCTCTGATGGACATCGAACGCTCGGGACATGGAAAAGGCTTTTGCTACGGGAAACAGCCATACCCTGTGTCGACTGGCTCCAGAAAAGCAACGGTCAGCGAAACGTCCGCAAAAACGTCGACTGGAAATATGCACCGAACACTTCAGCTGGCCTCCTGCAACACAGCCTGTAGAGATAGTGCATACAGGCGAATGGAGTGTAAACGTTGAGCGCCCTTCGGAAGAAGAAACAAAGTGTGGAATATCCGTGCTAAAACATGAGAAGGCGCCAGGACCGGACGGTCTGTATCCAGCCCTCTTCTAAGAATCCCTGGCGATCCGTCTGACGAGGCTTATTGCTGTCTGCCGAATGGAGCATGTCGACAGTTACCCGTATCTCCAAAAAGGGTACGCGAACGCTGTGTGAAAACCACCGTGGCCTAAGCCTATTAGCTGTAGCATCGAATGTGTTCTCTGGTCTTATCCTTCGAAGGTTGACTGGACGCAGGGAGAGACACGTCAATGAAAACCAAGCTGGGTTCCGTCCTGCAGGAGGATGCGTCGATCATAGACTCTTGACCCTGCACACCAACTCCCGCGGCCGTGTGAAGGTCTACGGGAAGCTCTCTTCTGAGTTCACCACATCAAGTGGTGTCACCTTCTCTCTTCAACTTCGTCATTGATACGATCATGGAAGCCTCACTATCAGCCTGTGGGGTCGAAGTGCTCCCTGGGCCTCCGCTCACAGATATCGAGTACGCGGAAGACATAGTTCTCCTTGGATCTGACCCCGTGGTAAGGCAAACAATATTAAATAATCCAACTAATTCCGCCTCACCGTTTGGCATACGCTACTGCTCAAACCCTAGCCTCAATCTTGCGGATGAACCGATTGAGGTAGTCGACAAATTTGTTTACCTGGGAAGCTGTATCAGTCCCGGTGATCTCGCAAAAGATGATATTTCCATCCGGGTTGGGAAGGCCAGAGCAGCCTTTGTGAACCTGCGTCACCTGTGGCCTAGACATGATATCGACTTATCCGTCAAGGGTCGAGTTTACAATGCTTCGGTGTGCTCCATATTACTATACGGATCAGAAACCTGGTCACTGTGCGCCGAGGACGTCAAGACTTTGAATGTTTGACCATCGATGTTTTCGGAGTATTGTCCGGATCTGGTGGGGACACCGGATCAGCAATGCTGATATTCGGAAGAAATAACTCTCTCGATAGATCAACTGATCACACTGCATAAGGTGCGCTGGCTTGGCCACATGCTGCGTATGCCAGTTGGCCGACTTCCTCGAAGGGTTCTTTTCCACAACCACGTGAAGGGTGGAAGAGAGTCAGAAGCGGTCAGACGATGACCTGGCAGCGAAGTATGAAAGCCATTACCAGCAAACTGAGCTGCGCTGGCCATTGCTGTCTTCCTGGATGGGGACCTCGGGTTAGCCACGGTAAAAAAAGACCCAATCGCGTTCATGCATCTAAGTCATTGGCTTCAGTGCGTAAAACCCTCCCAATTAAGTCGACTGGGAACTCTGAATCCACTGATCTACTGTATTAACTGCAAATCCCAATGACCACACACCTAGCGCAACTTGAATCATCGGGGAACTAAATCGTTGAGGCTAGAACCATCGTAGAAAAAGTACGCCATTCTCACTGCTGATGATCCACAGCGGGAAAAGTAGGACACACGTTACGTGACACGAAACCTAGCGTAAATCGCCAAAATCCAATCACTCGAGGGAGCCACACAAAGCACAGTTTGGACGGACGAACCTTCCGCAACTGCTAACTGAGATACCAGGTTTGGGATTGACTCCATCGTCTGGGCATCCAACGCACGGTAGAACCTCTTTGTTCACCACCAGTAAAGCAGCCCACTCATTCTTCACTACCAAGCTGGGTTGGGATTTCCAGTTTGTCTCTAGACCTACCCGGTCCCGTGGAAATTACACGGACTGCACTCTTAGCCACACCAAACGCGCCAGAGTGTAATCCTACGTTTGAATTGTGTAGTTGTGAGACCTACGCAGCGATTCGACAGCATATTTGGACTAGTCCGGATTGCATTTGGTTGTCTTGGCGACAGACCCATTAAACGTTTCCGTTATATTCCCTACATTTTCTTGACTTCGATGTCCAACAGTACATAGAAGCTGTCCAAATAATAGTTTACGAAAGCCCTCCAGCTCGTTGCTATATTACTACAATTGCCCAGTCTTGATAGTCATGTGAAGCATCGGCACTACAGTAACACCGGTTGCAAGGTAGAGACCTCGGGACACCAGTGGTTAAAGACTCTCAAACAAGGCCCAGTAGCATCCTCAATGACGCCTATGCATCCAAACTGTGGCATAGCTCTCCCTCCCTCAAAAGTTCACAGATCGCCTTGTACTCACGCATCTATTATATCGGCTCCCGCCTCCAATATATAGCTACTAACCCCAAATAATCGGCGAACGAGTGGGTGGCGGCTATAACCACCGTGCCACATGTATGCAGTTCTTCTAGCTGGCAATGATAGTATAGTTGACTAACTTGGGAGTTGGACTGAATCAATGTTCCCACAGGATGGAAGGTATTCGGGCTGGGCGTGATCGTTGTAGAACTTTGACGGATGCAGGATGGAAGAAACAGCCCACATAATTAGAACTATCTGTTTACTCTACTGGTGCCCATTTCACAAAAGAAAATCCTTCTAAGTAATTCAGATGAATATTTTTTCCATTAAGATCGACTGGGCCGACGGAAAACGCCAGTGCTAGGAAAACATACCTCACAAGTTGGTAGGAGAATTTATCATTGGGAATTACCATCGTAGCATTCCTTCTGACGACTGCAAGGAGGAAAATTATAGTGACCAAACAAAGCTCCAAACAACATGAAATGGCAACAGACAACAGAAGTATTCATCTGAATAACCAACTAAAGTGAATCTTAGCGGGTACGAGAGCTCCGAGTAAAGCATTATTACGGGACACTCAACAGATCTGGCTCGTTAAATGATAAGTAAAACAGGTGCCGCAGTGTACACCGTCGCTTACCGGAGACACAGGTGTTGCCACGTGAAGAGATCGTTGGATGAGCCTCGATTATCATGCCTTGAGTAAACCTCGCTACATATCACGTTTGAGAGACCTGTTAGGCCTGTCCTCCGGATGTGTGCATCCGGTCCCGCAAGACAGGTGAAGCCTACTGAAAGTCTCGATTCTAGGAGGTCTCATGCAAACAGGTGTCCGAGACAGTGATCGCATGTTTTTTTCGGTACTCGGGAAGAATAAGGTCTGTTAACATGCAGACAACCAACCAACCAAACTGTATATCTTGGAAACTTAACCTGACTTTTGTTTCCAGTCAGTACTCCTATTTGCCTTGCGTTGAACCACACCGCCTAAAACGTTTATACAGTCATACTACGTGCGATGATACCGCAACTGTAGAATGAACCCAAGGAAAAGTAGTGTACCAAGTGATTAGTTCAAAATCATGGTCACGTGGCTCTAAACTGGGATGGACAGATTAGCAGATTCCGTAGGAATTATACTAGAGAATAACGACGTAATGATTGGTGAGCAAAGCCACAGACGAGTCGGTACCGTGTAGTTCTGGGAAACGGTTCACGTGCAGAGAACTGCGGTAGTTCACAGACGGCTGCAAACTAAACTGCAAGTAACACGCAAATCCGGATGTTAGATGCAGAGATATCAATAAATGAGACAGGTCGGTTGAATCCAATGCGTAATGTAAGTTACTCAGAGAACGTAATACCAGCTAGAACTTTCTGTCAAGCCACAAACTACATGAAAATGATTTACGCACGTTCACCTAGGACCAAGAAACCGATTGCAAACAAAGCATAATACACTGAACGTAGGACGCGACCAG